GCATATTGCAACTCTTGACAGGTCAAACGAATACGTTCTTAAAGAACTCTTATGACTTTGGGAGAAAGGTGTCGGGTCTTGAGGTTTAGTCGGATGAAATGATGATCAATTTCGACGTTAGCTCTTTTTTACCAACGTACCAATATGCGACGCTTTGGAGATAGCGAAACACCGTCTAACCGAGGATAGTAATCTGGGAGAGAGGACGGTGGATCGAATAACGGAAGGAATGAACTTGTGCCTTAACATGTCTTATTTCACGTTCCAATCTAGATTATTCACTCAGGAACCAGGATTTGCCATGGGATCGCCAATATTCCCTGTATTGGCAAATTTATACATGGAAGCTTTCGAAACGAGGGCACTGACTGACTCTTGTAACTCACCAAAAATTTGGTGGCACTACATGGATGACATCTTTGTTATCATAAAACGGGATAAGAAGGACGAGCTTCTAAACCGCTTGAACACTTGCGGAGACTATAAATTTCACCATGGAATTGGAATCTGGTAGTTGGACATTGCCATTCCTTGACTGCTTAGCTCACAGAAATGGGGGTAGTCTAAAAACAACAATATATCGTAAGCCGACTGACACAGTTCAGGTCACCTGAAGCATGTGTATGTTGGAATCGCCTCATCTCTGTTTCACTGAGCCCAAACCCTGTGCACAAAGGAAGGAGATAGGAAGGCCGCCCGGAAAGAAGCAGCGAACCGATTGCTTGATAGTGGACACCTGAGGCGATTAGTGAAACGCCAGTTGGAGCGATTTTTAAATCCCCACTCACGGCGTAATTTAGAGTGGATTGTGACGGTAGGTATTCATTATAAAGATGGAAATTCGGAGGCCATCCGGAGGGTCTTAAATAAAGAAAACATAAGAGTAATTTTCCAGAAAGGCCAAACGCTCCGCTTTACACTAGTGCACTTGAAAGACCAACTTGTCGCCGATGACAACTAGTTGCGTCTACAAAATTAGTTGCAAAGACTGCACACACCTGTACATCGGCCAAACCGCGAGAGAGGTACGCACATGGATAGCAGAACACAAGAGACGCATAACACGGTCACCGAGAAACCAGCTTGAATATATGGCTCTACCAAGGAGCTCGGCAATAGCGATGCACGCGGTAGATACAGGGTATGAGATCGACTTGAATAACGTCAAAATCGTTAGAAAGAGGTTGCGATCGACTCCCCAGAGGCTGACTGCTGAGGCTGTAGAGATTAGCAAAGTGCACAGCTGCGTGAACAGAAGGGACGAGGCAGAGCTTTGGAGCTTGTAGCTAACTGTGTTAACCCGACCATTCTGAGGCGTGCTGGCGGACGGATCCAGTTCAGAGAATGAACATCACATCATCCCCGCAACTGTCGTTAACAGGGCTTACGTGGATGACCTTGTAACGCGGACCACTTGTGACGTTTCCATACACTGTTTGGAGTGGTGCGTTGACCTGTAACGCGATTGACTTCTGCATACATCCTATTCGTCGCGATTATTATCCCAGTTCGCTATAAATGCTATACCAATCCTCGACTAGTTTACTCGCCCCGAGGAAGCTTTTATGTCAAAAGCGAAAAGTTGCCCACAAACTGGTGGTTTTCAAACCTTTTTGTAATCATGAGTTCTCGATCAGTTCCAAGTATTTTCAGAGATCTTGAGTGCATTGCAATCTGTTCGGCCCAACGCTCCAAACGTTTTTACAAGCTGTGAATCGGCTGTCCTCGTCTCGTCGCGTATGGTTTCGTTAACACCAGTTCCCCTGCTGCCTTTTTCCTGTATCAAATGGAATAACTTACGATGATTACCAATGGCAGCGGCTGTTTCCATCTCCGAGACACGATGAGATCACCAGGCTTTGCGGTATCACTGAAGGCTAGCACAAACGTTTGCCCTGAGATTTTTGCAATTCTCAGTGTAATCGCTTCCAGTCGGAATACGTCGGCATGCATCCAAATGTTCCGGAGACTGCTTAGAAACTTAATGTCTAGGTTGGCAATTTGATTTGCCACATGGACACTTGCCCACTGATAGTAACTTTTGTAGGCGCTACCAGGGCTCCTACGCACTAGCATAGTTTTTAATCGCGAAGAAAAAGCACACAGTCAGTCAAAAAGACTTTGACAGCTTTATGAGGTGAGTGGAAAATAGACGTTTTGAAAACTTTTAAACTGGAGCCTATTTGGAGTCTAACGTCATCTCCGCGATGATTGCATGGGAGATCCGACCTCATTAGTGCTTAGCCAAGTGGAAATACTTGGGCCACATGGCTTCCAAGGACAGTCACGAATCAATTAAAGCGAAGACATCCGGATGAGAATGGTTCACAAGAGCGCCAACTTTGCACATCTTACTGCGGGCTCCCACGTTGCTGAGTACTACTTGAACGCGATTGTCATGGTGAGTCCAGAGCTCTGTTGGGACGAAATTGGACCGCTGGCTCACCATCCAAAACCCACCATCTGCAGTTCATTTTCACCCTCTTCGTGACGTCTTTGAAGGCTACCTCTGCTTTCAACCTGTCCGCTATAGGAAGGTTAGGTTATATGCTCACGTCAGAACCTTTTAGTTTAAAGGCGAATCGCGTACACGAGTATTACCCTCAAACGGCGAGGCCAGTTGTTCGGGGATCGCAATCGCTTTCGAACCGGATTGAAGTGACAAGATAAAGTTCTTAAGATCAAGGGTTCAAAATGAAGCAACTTGAGGTAAAAGACGGAAAATTCGGCTGCGTTACTTATGACTTTCATATCCTCTTGGATGAGAATTTCCTCTGGTCAGAATTCCTGCACATTGTTATTTTGACAATTCTACCACGGAAAGGTTCCGCACGCTCACGATAATTAGTTGTAGAGGGGACAAAATACAACAGATGGGTGACCACGAAGCAAAAATCACCTACTGCTTTTGAGATTGAACAATGGCACCAAGAGGATTGGAAAGCATTTTCCAATCAAGAAGCGAGATACCTGCAGATAAGAGATTCCGAGTAAGTTGGGACTTCCAGATCTTTCTAGATGGCACGAAACTGACGAAGTCAGCTTTTCTGCCCTGTGTTCTTCAAACACTATTTCCAAGTTAAGCTTTCGAGAAAAATCTTGCAAGCTGGAGCACGACGAGCACGCCATGGCCCTGACAAAGTGACTGTTTCTTCTTCCTCGGCTCTTTAAAACAAAATGACTAGATTGTTTGAATTACAGATGAAACACATACGAAGACCATATTACACCCTAGCCAACTAATTCATGCCCATGTATCCTGCACTAGCAATCCCTGTCGGGCTGGTTGCATGAAGAAAAGGAAAATAGCAGGCAGAAAAACGCAAGCAAACAATCACAACATAGGTTGGGGAAAATCACAAAATAAAATTGAAACTTGAACTTCGGAGTCGGTTTTGAGTAAAGAAAGTTTGGTGTTGTCTCCGAAAAGTATCGATCCCACGCACAAAAGTGAACCGCAGATTCTCTAACCAATTACTATGGATGCTAGTTCTAGTGCTCGATTATTCGGTGCGACAATCGGGCACTTCACACGGGGCGTAGATGGAAACCGGTTATATCTATTCACATGATTACCCCGAAAATTGCGGCGTTTCCACCTAGCAGTCCACGGTCGAAAGACCATGTCTCACTAGTGTGTCTTACATAGTGCCCTTAGCTCTCTCTCTCTCTCTCTGCAGGAGCAAGAGGCTAAGAGAAAAATCCTTTGCATAGTATAACCAGATGGACTTCTGGGTACAAACCAGAATGAAACGTACGTGTCGACAAAGATGCCTGGTGGGCCAAAAGGACTCAGTAAATGGGGGAGACCGGAGCGGCGGATACTTACCGCAGATTTCTTTCACTGGTCCGCACAGCTCTTCTTTGGAACTTGTGCGTCAGTTGGACAACGAAGGACAGTGCAACTATAAATAAGGAGTGCCATCTGTCCCACTATAAGCACTTTTTAAAGCAATTAAATTGGGCTCCAGCTTCCAGGCCTCTTACTACTCAGATGATGCAGACAGCCAAGTTTGGTTATCCTATTGGCCGGGATGTCCCTTGCACTGTTGACTGTTATCACATGCGAAGCTGCAGTGGTGAACTCAAAGCTCTTGTATTTGCCTCTGGTGCATTTATCTCGAGTTACGGAGTTCACTCTACTGACCCGCCCTGCTTTTTTCGAATGCTCATGACTTCCTGGCTGTGTGATTGTCACAGTTCCATTTTAGCCGTCTGACTCCCCTACTATTCTACATCATCATCATTACACATCAGGTGAAGGTGAGAAACATTACAACTCTTTTGCCGCAATATAAGAAAAAGCACCACACCAAACATTATGGAATGCAAAAAAAACAGTCAACACATTGCTTAGTAACATATTATGCTTCAAGCGGGAAATCGCAGTTGGATGGAGAGGCACGAAGAAACTCACAGCACGAACGCCATTGAGGTCTACTATCCTACAAACAGCACTTTACCAAAATTTCTCACAATGCGTTGGGTTATTTGGTGATCTATGTTAGTAGAACAATAATTTGGTGTGTTACACTGTCATTTGCATGATAGGAGCATATAGATCAGTGGAGGATGAGTCGCGCTGATTAATCGCTAATGCATTGGTGACTGCAGACCGGCTACGTGCGACCCCTCACAGACTTGCAGCAACATTGAGGGTAGCTCCGCGGAACAGTCTGAAAACAGTCCGACTATCTACCCTTTTCAACTGTGGCTTTGCAGGTGCCGCGTTCGCACCCGTGCTTTTGTGTTAGAATGATACTCGACTGTTCCCCATCACACTGGGCTTCTCTCTCTCTCTGGTCCATACCATCTATCAACAATCATAATTACAGAATGCATTTCAAGGTTCGAATAACCTGAACCTAACAACCCGCTGGACTCAGTTTCGCCTGAGAAGTTTGTCAGTTTCATCAGTTAAGCGTGCTTCTGTTCGCAGAGCGCGCGCTCAGTTCTCATGATTTCAACCACTGTTTTATTGATTTGTAACAATTGGTGCACTTTGTTGCCCGTACAGTAGGCACTGACCTCTTGCATTCGTTAAATGTGATTTGTTTTTGAAGTGATTCTTACTTTTGGTTTATCTAACCTGTGCTATCTTCTGTGTATTTGTTCATTTCTAAGTACCACGTTCATAGCGATTTTTCTGTCGTTAACAGAGATATAATCTCCAAAACGAACGGGCGTTGTTTATTTGCTGCACGATTTCATTTTCCACAATATGCTCAGATCTTTTTACCACAAGATTCTCTTTTTTCAGATAATGGGGAAGAAATCCAAAAAGTCTAAAAATCAAAAGAAGCACGCTCCTTCCTCTGTTAAGCCTATTGGAACTAATAAGAGGCGCAAGCAAAAGTCATCTAAGCGCTTCCGAAATCAGCTGAGAAATACCGATCCTTTGTCCGAAAAGGTAATCAACACAACGACGGGCAATTCAATTAAAAAGAAACCTCTTAAAAGCCGTCGCCACGAAACTAACCCGGCCAAATTATCTGCTCCCTGCAAGTTGTTTGGCGCTGCATCTAGTGACAGCGAACCGGAACCAATCAGTGCGAATTGGCATGTTGGTGGGGATGATGCGGGTACACCGACAGGTCCCTCTGAATGGAGTCATACAACTGCATCGAAGAAAACACCCCAATCAGATGGAGAGCATGCATCCAGTGATCTAGAAAACTCAGAGACTGACGCTGACGAAGAACTCGATGAGACTGAGTTGGAGGTGTTAGTTCGGGGTGATTTGGAGGCGGGCCAAAAGTCCAAGTGCATCTCACGTGATCCGAAGAAAAGTAAATATTTGCATTTTGCGGTTTATCAAGCTCGTTACTTTTTGAGAATTTTCGGTGGCTCACAATGATCAAAATCCTGATTTTTCGCTTGCTTTTTCATTCGTGTGCGGTAATTGTTGATCTACCTTTTTTGCTAAGGCAATTTCAGTTATACGAGGGTCATTTAATAATAAGGTGAATTTTTCGGCATAAGGACTTCTAATACAGATAGAAGCTTACTTTTTTATGTTTCAGCGTAGTCTCCCAGCACTGTCATACACTTTTCCCATCTGTGCACAAGCTTCCGTATTCTCTCAGCGTAAAAATCTTTGGACTGATGTCTCAGCCAGTCGCTCACAACACTTTTGACTTCATCGTCACTTTCAACTTCGTACCTCTCGTGAATGCTTTCAAGGGACCAAACAGGTGAAAGTCTGAAGGGGCAAGGTTTGGGCTGTAAGGGGGATGAGGGAGCAGCCCCCAGCCCAGCTCGTTGATAGTCTGCACCGGTCGGGCTGCTGTGTGAGGCTTTGCGTTGTCATGATGCAAGATGACTCCTTCTGACTGATGACCCCTACGTTCGTTCTTTATGTCTTTTTGACCTGCCTCAGCAGTTCACAGTAGTTGTCACTGTTCACAGTGCTTCCTTTCTCAAGGAATGAAATGGTGATTTGGCCTTGCATACCCCAAAAAAACGGTGAGCATCACTTTCCTCGTGGACCGCTGGGACTTGAACTTCTTCACTGGAGAGCCTACGTGCTTCCACTCCATGGATTGCCGTTTGGACTCAGGCTCATATTGGCAAACTCATGTCTGGTCACATGTGACCACCTTCTTCAGAAACTCATCATCATCCTTCTCATAGCGCAGAGACACTGCTGGAACAACTCAACCCTCCTCTGTTTGTGCTCTGCAGTAGCATCTTTGGCACCAACCGGCAGCTGACCTTCGGGCAGCCAAGGTCATCGTGGACAATTTTGTGTGCTGTCCCAACAGATAAGCTCAAAGTCCTTGCAATGTCATCCACTGTCATCCTTCTGTCCGACTGAATGAGGTCATTAACTGATTCGATCACCTCAGGAGACCTCACTTCTGTAGGCCTCCCAGGGCTGTCTTCATCCTCAACACTGCTCCGTCCTTCTTTAAACAATTTTGCCCACTTGTAGACATTTTTTCGGCTGAAACATATGGCACCATACACAGTTGACATTCTCCTATGAATTTCAACTGGTTTGCACTCTTCAGCAACCAAAAACTTGATAACTGACCGCTGTTCAATGCTGAAGCATGCTTCTTGGTCGGCCATCTTTGTTAATCACTGAAACTCTCACAGTTTTTTCTCAATCTGCAAAAGAAATTACATCCATGTGGAAAAAAGTAAAACAACAAAAATAAAAAATTAAGCTTCTATCTGTATTAGAAGTCCTTATACCGAAAAATTCACCTTATTTATTGAATGACACTCGTACATTTCTCTACTTTTCCTGGCTCGGCGAGGAAATGTTTACCGGTTAGTCCACTGGCTCGAGAAGGGTTACATCTTTTGAGCACCTTTTTATCCATTTTTCCCATGCTGCCATTAATAGTGTGCTCTCGCAACTGCTGGGGTTGTTAGTGTTGGACAGTCAGTGACTGTCATAGAAGTTATGCTGTATACTTTGGTGGGACCTTTAAATCGGCCGTTGCCTTTTTCGCTGGACATCGTTTTTACATTATCTACCGTATCTATCTCAGTTGGTAAGATTAAGCTGACAGATATTTTTTTCAGTCAACTTCCAAGATCACTGTGACCCTCTACTCCATACATCTTTGAACATAAAAGTGATATCGCGCACGATCCCCTATCTACTGTCTGTGGATAAAACATTTTGCGTCAGTTGCAACGCATTCTGACGAAAAATTTTTATGAAAACTTTTCTGTTTTGTATAGATACAAATTTAGTTCAGCTTTTTGCGATCGTTGCTCGATCGATCTAAAACACTGCATACTACTTATTCTCCTACCCATTTGTAAAGTTAGCCTTTTTAATGATAACTCTTTGGTACATTTACAGTTGACAATGTAAAATGTAGAAAATGCATCTGTTTAGGTACACAAAGCTTATACTGACGACTGACTTGACATCAGACAAAGTTTCGCGTTGTTCATTGACACACCTTTTCGCATGGTAAACTTCGTGCTTTTCATCACAGCTTTCCAAATTACTGACTTTCAGCTCATCTATGCTGAATGCGTCCATTCTTTGATCCATAGCCTGCGACGACGGGCTCCTTCAATAAGCAAATCCTTTAACAGCTTCTTTAGCCCAAATTGTGTTATTAGAAGTTATATATGGGTTCTCACTTGCCCCGACAAAGTATTGCACACTTGATTTGGGAAAGGCACATACTGTATTCTGAGGCCATGTCACTTTACGGTTTAGCGCTTGTCTTATACACTACTTCTGGTCGGGTGGTACTACTTAACTACTCTTGGCCATCTACCTTATCTTCTTAGGGTTGTTCTACAAGGCCATTGTACATTCAATTCATTAGTATGATTGAAATACCGGAAGAGGTAAAGAAGCATAAGTGGAATCGTAACAGGTATCTGGTACTACAATTTGTCGACTTTTAAGCAATTCTTGATTGACCCATAGCTCGACGGATAGCATAGTCAGCTGTTGGCAAGGTGTAGGCGCCTTGTCTGTGAATATTTGCTTAGAGCACTAAGTTTTTATGCTAGGTCCCTCTTCTCTCTCTGTTATTATTCTTCGTTCCTTAGGTCACCCTGATGGCACGGCAACGAAGCATCAGTCCAAAGGGTTGATCTAATGTTGTTTATGATGATGATGGTACACCTCTTGTAAGTGTGGTGATTGCTGGCGAGCGAGAAAGACCAGTTTCACACGTGCGCTCGTAATCGCCAGACAAACAGACAGCCCACGCTATCGCGGAAAAGTCGTGTGACTGTCTCAGTGCGTTCGATCGGGTAAGCGAGTAAGTTTTAAAAACACCACTAAGTGTACAGATCCTCAGAATTGAGAGTAGAGTATTTGTGTGCTGATCCCGTGATCCCGCGGCTGGGGAACCCAGGCACGTAGCAGTAAGAGTCAAGAATGCAATCGTCGGACACCCTACTTTTGGATTGCTCAAAGCAGTGTTCAGAGCGCTCATAGATTGTTACTTGCGACATCTTCCATGTTACTCGCCGTCACCGTTTTTCTAACTTACTTATCCCGGGATTCCTGAGCAATTCACTTTTTAGGCTCACGGAACCATCCCCCCACGTTGAATTCACAAACGTCTCATAATTTATCTCTGAAGGCACCTTTGCAGATACGCTGTCTCCTTTTTTATAGCTTATTTCGAGGAATTCTGTTTGATGCATGGTTCGTTCACTTTCAGCTGTGCTACTTCGCAGGTTAGGAGCTCGGATACTATACGCGCAATCTCAAAGCTTGGTACATCCTTGAAACGACCATGATCTTTCTGTGTGTACGCATTAGGTCGCGATCAAATTCAATTTACTTACTCCAGCTCTACCGACAATCCTACACTTAGGCACTCTATCTGCAACTGGTCTCAACATAGCCAATGTGAGTCTAATCAGTTAAGTATTCAATGGGCACTGGAGAAATAGGATGCGGACATAGGCGTGACGTTCAGCGCATAGCTGTAGATAGCAGTCGCCACCGTTAGTACATCACACTAACCCTGAGACGGTTTTTGGTGCGGAGTTCTAACCAAAAACGCTAATTCCATGTACGCCGTTGAAACTCATCTCAAATAGAAGTATCGTGGCAAATCTTTTATCTAGTTTGAGTTTTCTTCACCATGGCCATCACCGCGATAACGACGTTGCACTCAGTCGAAGTACTGAAGGTATCCTACTCCGATGATTAGCCACATGTGTATTGTTCGGCTTAGAAGTTTCGACAAATCATAAAGACACTGCGGTAAGGCACTTCTATGCACTTCGCTACCCCCGAACCTATTACACTCCTATATTGGAATTTAAGGAACTCAACTACAGGCGTCGTCACCCAGCGATTCACTGTAAACCTTTTAGTGTCATCATCAATACTACACCAATACGCATTAGCTGAGGGTGAGAAACACCTCAATCAATGTGCCACAGTACAAAAAGATAAGATACTGAGGATCTACACTACAAAGAATTCAAACAGCAATTAATATAATTAGATTAATTGTGGATGTTTGTGAGTAAAGTTCCTAGAAAGTAGAAGTCACGATTAAAATTCACACACAATAATGTGCCTCGACGGGGAATCGAACCCCGGTCCCACGAATTTCCGGTCCGCTGCTCTACCACTGAGCTACCGAGGGCTGACGATTAGGTGCGAATTTTTTAATACATGACCTGCGCACCTAATCGTCAGCCCTCGGTAGCTCAGTGGTAGAGCAGCGGACCGGAAATTCGTCGGGCCGGGGTTCGATTCCCCGTCGAGGCACATTATTGTGTGTGAATTAATATAATGTTAACTATTATAAATAAATAAATATTTTATTCCCTGCGGTGCGGGGCACGCTTGCGAAGGCATGCTCATGATAATACAAACAGTTGTGATCGGTAATTGTATAAAAATATAGCATGTTGACCAATAACATGCTGGATTTGTATGTCTGTATATATGTAAGGCTGAGGCTGATGTTGCATTCATGATGCTTCTTCACCGCAGTTGGGCTAAACCAACTTATACTAGGTATTTTTGAACTGGATAAATTTCATTTCACCTTATTTGGTTTATTCTGTTAACCTGAATAAGCTATTAACTTACACACGCTATTAACGCTAATTGTAGTTATATTCGTTAACTTTATCGCGTTTATAGCATTTTTGAGTAGCTTGTGAACATTTTGTACTTATCCCGAATTTGTTGCGAACCAGCTTACTTCATATGCTAATTTAACGGATAGTTATGTCGGCATAGCCATATGCTTTAACAGACATATTTTATTGGATAATATCATTTCAAGTGATTGGCTGTTTTTTGACATCCCCAGTGTGGCTGCGCTTCATGTGGATGTTGTCAAGGTGCCTACCTGTCTGTTACACACTGCCTCGTCCATACTGGCTTCCGTAGACAGTTAGTCGTTGCTGGAGGGGACTGGGTGCACGATGCTTGTGGCCGTGCTAGGCGAAGGGTGGTTCCATTTACTTTGTGTGGAGCGGATTACAGTCCAGCCGCCGCCTTGTGCTCGCTTGTGTTTGCCTGTGAAGGAGTGTGCGCCGGCTCCGTTGATGAAATGTGGCTTCCATCCACATGCTTCCCGGTCTTATTCCTTCGGGTTTACACTGGATATGGGGTGTGCGGTTGGAGCTGTGAGTAGTGCAGCGCAACCCAGCCATAGTGCGTTTGTAAGCGCAGGATTTCTCTGGCTGGCCACAGTGACAGGCAAATCCGAAACCGGATGCCAACAGCCACATGTGTTAGTGGGCATGGTGAGTGAACTTGTGAAGTGTGACTGAATTCGTGACTTTGCTGTGTTCATCATCGTATGAAGGGATCAATGGAACTCTTCGAACTGGATGACGTTTTTGAAGTGGGGATCCTCCGGAAAGGGAAGAGGTAGTGACATCCATCACGTCGCAGTGTTGTTAAACGGACCTTTGTGGCTTTTTATAGGGAGAACGCTCGCCAGGCCAAAACCCACCACGTCCTGCAACACTGCCGCCGATCTATTCGCTGGAAGCTGCTTAACCCGAACCACCTTTCTGGCACCACGTGGAGGTTGTTCGGCTAGCCAGCCATGAGATCGTAATTCGAGGGGGAATCTAAAGGGGAGGGCAATAGACAAAGAAACACGACTCGAATGCCATTGGGGCCGGCTTCTCGCCATATCAGCAAGTGTGTTCAACCAAACGTGTTCATCGTCCTTGGGGCCCCAGCCAGGCTGTCGGGATGCACCACCCGACGCCAACTTCACGTAAAGTTCTCATTTCTTAAGGCCAAGTCATCGCTAAGCCTCACCTTCAACTCCTCTAACCGCACCCGGACACGCAAATAACTCACAACTCGGGAGTCGATGTGCTGATATGCGCAACACGTGGCCCAGCCATCGGAGCCTGGTGCGTGATATAATTGTGCTGAGCGGTTTACTAGCCCTTCCTGCACCAAATATGCGACGCCGAACACATTCATCACTCACGCGGTGCTCCCGCTGGAAATGAGCTAAACTGCGAGTGAGCGACGCTCATTATCCATCTGCTTCATCAGCTACGGTCCCAGTGATTGCATTGACCAACCTTCACCACAGTGCGAATCGCGTTCCACATTGAGCTTACGCGTCGAAATCCATTGCTACAAAATGGCTTCAAAATGGCCCTCCAATCACTGCACGTCTTTTGTAGATACGGCGTTGAATTTTTTCCTCTGATGTATGGGAGCTGCAGTTTGTAACGTCATAGTCGACAACAGGCGCGTAACTGCTGGTATTAGTTTAATGAGTCTGACTTAAGAGATTACCTTTGTTTTGGTTCGTACTGGGCTATCCGTTCACCGCCTACCGAGAGGAACTGTTTTTGTTATACCCTGGATGGTGTAAGGTCCGAGCAGATAACCGCTGACCTGGGAAGTCTGTGGTCACCTAATTTTCCCACTGATCTGTCTCGCTTTTCAAGTTGAAGTCAACACGATCCACTCTGTGCTAAGCTCGAAACTTCACAGAACATAACAAGCCACCAGCATCGGTGACATGTTCCATCTCGTCTCCTAATTTGTTTACCTTGTATATGATACTAACGAGTAAGGCTGAGGATGACGCTGAGGATTACACCGCTTATCTTCATGCGAAAACCGGCTGTTTGTGACTGCTTTGATCCTAAGGGTTCGCTTGTGACATTGGACTTTTCCTCAGATTATCTCTACTTTATTTTCCTTAGCAGAGTAATCATGGTTCTATGGCCTGCCGAAGACCGAAGGAATGATGCGTCTGTCTGTAAGCCAAAGTCATCGGTTGGAATAGGCGTAGACGCGGATGACGTTGCAGTATCCCTAGCACACGCGGGATTAATAGGCGTCGCGTGGCAACGCTGGGTCGGTGTGACGCACCGACGTACGTCTGATGCCTATCTTCCCTCTGTCAGTGACATCTTGGTTAATCACCAGCTATCTTTTCTATACCTCATCTTATGTCCAACTTTATCTCACATCTGTCATGAGGTTTCCTTCTACTAAACTGTATCCCACAGCCCCTTCCCACCGGATAACTAGGAGCTTAAGCAATGCGAATAATGTCATTTCATGCTATATGAGCCGAGTCTATACAAACGGCTGATTACTACATTAGGAATAGCCCAGTCCATCTGCTTCACTCTTGCACCCTCTTGACCTTATGCTACGACAGATCCGTGAGCCTTGCTGCCTGTTTGACCACCCACGACGAAGTGGAGGGGTTCGGTTCACCGATCACACCTTCAAGAATGCGCTTTATCAGTTCCATACCTTCATTAAATCAGGATGATCCCGCTTGGATTACCAAATCCTTCCGTACCGAGAGATCCAGGCCTCTTGGTCGTCGGTTAACGCGACCACATTCAAACTGACGCACTGTATCAAAGCCTATAGGGTGTTGAGGAAGCCGTGCAAGTTACATTGCTCTAAGCATGTTCCGCCTAGGCTTACCCATAGTTTGTCCAATAAAGTAAGATAGACTAAACCAGGAAACGATCACCAGTAACAGATTAAAGTGAGCTATATCATACACCATTGATCTTGAATTGAACCTTTGTTCTGATTCGCCTACTTTCCCCTTCAGATGTTGAACCAACGAATGCGCCGAAGTCTGGCGTTCGCAATGTGCCGTCCGAGGTACGTCTACACGATTTGTTTATGTCATTATCACCTCATTGCACGTTAGCTAGAAGCGAGAAACATCTCGGCTGTATAGTAAACATAACAAATTCAACAATAAAATCAAAAACAGGTAATACAATACTTTGTATCGTATTATAGATAGGGTATGAGATCGTAGATGAAGGGGAAGCTAAGCGACAGGAGGAGGAAGGACAAAACAACACAAACGCCACTGAGGTCGGCTCTACGCAATCTCAGCAAGCGTATTCAACCAGACGCATTCATCGTCTCTCGGCCTTCAATTGGGCAATCAGGAGACACCAACCGACGCCAAGTTCCAAGTAAGGGTCTTCATTCCTCTTGACCAAGTCATCGCCTGACCCTTCATCTTCCATACAAATCTCGACAACGCAGACAAGGCACGTCCAGGCAGTCGGTGTGTTAGTATGCGCAACACGTTCCACAGCCATTAGAGCCTGGTGCGCGATATGACCTTCCCTAACGGTCCACACGCTCTTCCTGCACCGGATGCGAGATACTAAACTCGGTCACTGCTCACGTGTTTTTCCCAGTAAACATAAGCTAAACTGCGAAGGTAGCGATCGTCAGACGTAATACGGCTCTTCAGATCTATCGATTTTATAAGTCAGGTTTTGCAACCGTATGTGAGGGCTAAACGTAAGGCTGCGTTGTGAACTCTGCCTTTCAGAGCGGGAGTGATGTCACGCCAGCGTCACATGTAGCGGTGACTTGCAAAAGCGGTCCGGTTCTTCCTGTACGGTCCATGATCTCATCTCCAAGTCCACATCCTCTAATATAACTCTTTAGATACTTGCGTTTCTAGACGACTTCAAACCTATCACCACCAAGAATCAGCGCTGGGCTGTGGGTCCCCGCCACTCCTGGAGAATGACTTTGCATGTCCAAGTTGCAAACCACAGCCCGAAGCAAATGACAGCCAGTAGTACCTTCTACAGTTCTGATTTTGCAGTGGGACGTAAGGACATTCACTACAAAAGTAGGTGGTGTCTACGTGCTCCGTCTGGTGCTTGGCCCGAGACGTTACACGACTTCGTTCGCAGGCGGCATCAGTGGCGCGTTTGCTGTCGTCTAGTCAAACTGCCTATTTAAACTGTCTTTTTCGCCGGGTTATCTGCAGGATATTGGCTAACTATGGCGCAGAGCACTGAAAGCCACAAGGAGGCTGTCTCGCCAATGCCGCTTTATCACGTTAGCCAGTTGGGATAATATATTGCAGAGAAGAAATAGGCGCCTTGAGTACGAATGTCTCCTTAGCGCTTTAGCCTATTACCCCAGGTCCACTTCTCTCACTTTTTTTATTCCGCATTCCGTACATCATTGTAGTTGTACTGTAGCGAAGCATCAGTTCGAATGGCACATGTACTGGTGTTTATAAGTATGCTTCCAACAGATTGACAAGATGGCCTGGTTGATAGAGTAGTCCGTGCTGGTGTGGGGAAGTGGATCGCTTGTGAGATGAGCCTGGTATGCTCAGCTACTATTCTGTGTGGATGTGCACACGTCTATCTCACTGTGTTGGTTGCGATTCCAACTGCTTATGTGCATTGTTGATGCACACGAAGTGTTCGTGCGCTGCTGCTTGAGTTGCGTGGTGTGTTTTGCGAAGTTGTCTTTGGGGGTCTCATATACCAGCTATGATAGGTGCACCTTCTCGTCATCGTCTTGGGATTGGCGTCAGAGTGCCTGCTGTTTTCAGGCAGAATGTGGTTGGGCTATGCGGCCCTCTGTCTCCATACTACTTGATATTCTTGCACACCTGTTTCGTTGCGCGCAACTTTTTTCCCCTCCACTTTTCCTCCCGTAGCATGTTGCGGTGGTATGGTTGTATTCGCGGTTGTAGAATGCTGTGCTTGCTTCCAAGCCCGTGGTTCCGTGCCCTCGTGGTATAGCCCGCAAGCTACATTGATCTGCTTTGCCTGTATGCAGTTGCCACTGGTATATTTCGATATCAGGCACATATGCTGTGTCATGGGTCACTGCTGTTGTGTTTGGTTGGTTGAGTGGCTTGTGTGTTGTTTCTATTCATTTTCTGTATGCAGCAGACCGTTGGTGTAGAGCGATATGTCTTTCTCATTCTTATGCCTGCATTCCATTTGACTTGCGTTTGTGAATGAGCTGCGTCTTGGTTTGTGTCCAGGTTCGTTTCTGATTCTGAAGAACATGCTCAGGTGTGGTGGTTCATTGGCGACTGACTGGTGTCGGGGTTTTACCCTGCTCCTTGTACCATTTTTGCTGACGACGAGGACCATCATTCCACTAAGTCTGACATGTGGTGCACTGCTGTTGTTGGCACTAGGTTGTACTGTTGCCTTCGGGTGTTTGGGTTGTTGTCCTCGTCGTTTCCCAGACTGAAGTCAGTTCGAACCACCTTGTGCTTAGCTGTAGTCTAATTGGTCATTTGAAGAGCTTGGGAATATCCGTACCTCGAGGTGTGCATGTGCATGTTTTGCACTGTTTTTCGAGCAGAATGATTAGTTTGCAACCGTTTCGTTGCGATACTAAACAACATCGTCATTGCGGCTTTTAGGGCTTGCTTCGCAGGACCTTTTAAGCGACATCGAGATTGAAGTTGCTTATTGGTCGAGTTCTGCCTTGAATACTACGCTTCAGTAAACTGTCGTGCTTGCTAGCCTGTGGCTCTTCTGAGGAGTTCGACGTACTCCAAGTTGAACTGGTGGTTTTCGATATCTATATGCACTGACATCATGACGGCAAATGGCTATGCGTTGCTTGCCATCAGCTTTTGCAGATTGTTTGTTGTTCTCTTCAATCTGGACTGTTAATTCGTTTTTTGTGACACTGCACTGTCTTTGTCCCACGTTTGTACTGGTGGCCATAACGATTGTGCACCTGCGTTGTTATTCTGAGTTCAGCGTTTGGGATCCGCGTAGGTGCGGGTGATCTCACGGTATACGCAGCTTTCGCGCACCTCATGGTGGTCGCGTGGCAACGAAGCGTCGGTGCTGTGTGTTGGCGTACTGCTGATGCATGTGTATATCTGATATCAAACCTTCTCTGTGTTCGGTCTGAGAGTTGTACGAGTTAAAGCAATATCAGCCAGTCTCCGAGTAAGCCATCACTCATATGCACTCCCCTAAATCTCATTCCCTCTGGTTTATTTTGGATTCCTACTATGTGAGCGAATCTGTGTTTGATGCGACGTAAGTCAGCTATGGTGTCTCAGTATGCGCAGCCTTCCTGTGGCTGTGCGCAGTCCCAGTGGCAAAGGAGTGTATAAGCGACTGTCACCAACATTGCGCCTAGTGAATGTGTGTCGATCGGAGTGGGACATGGCCACATTTTAGGAGGATAGCTGTCGCGGCCTTTGTTCCTTACGTGCACTTTTGGTGGGCTGCGTGAGTTTGACGTTGGCGTCCAATGCCCCGTGGTACTCTATGCGGTTTTAGTTGTAGTCGTTGCTCGACTTGATGGCATCGTCGTTGTCGATATAGTTGCTTTACGTATGCTGGGCTTCGTACGAGATGGTGCGGATTGACATTAGCGTCCTTGTCACTGAATCAAACACACTTGATCTGATGGCGCTGCGTTTGGTTGCACTCAATGAAGACGATTGTCAGACACGGAGTGCTTTCTTGCGTGGCACATCGCTGCCGTTTTTATCTGGATATTGTTTTCCATCAGCTCTCTGCCCGTTGTTTGTGGTGATCATGGTGATGCATCCTTCGTCAATTTTGTCCTGGGAAGGATGAGCATTGTTGTATTGTGATGTGCGAATTTTGTTTCGGTGTCTTGTGGTGTGAGTTGGTGCATGTGCTGCATGTGGCTGTGCGATGCTGTGCTCTCCTCCAAGCCCGTGGTTTTGATACCCCGTGGTATTTCCGGTGAGCAACACTGACTCTGCGCACACGTGGTCGTGGTGTACCGCTGTGTCACACGCACACATGTTTCGGCCGAGGTTCACTTGTGTGTAGTGGGCATAGTATCTGGTACTGCTTGTGTGGCAGTTGATCCGCATGAATTGCACTGTTGCGGGTAGTGTGGGACACGTTGATGGTGGCCATGTAGGTAGCCGGCGTCGACGCGCGCCACGTCTTGCTGTTCGGGTTCGTGGTTCGTGCTGAAACGCTGCGACAGACTGTTTGCTTCCTGTTGTATCGTCATGCCATGTGTGTGTGTATGCTTCCGCCATGGAAGTGCCTGGCATAGTGTCTTCAATGTCTTTCAGGAGTGTTTCATGATTACTGCGTTTGTTGTGTGCGGGTGAATGATGCTGATTTCCTTCACCCAACCTTGGCATTCAGATTTTGTTGTGTGTGTCCGGTCACCTGCGCTTTCGCGCATTTCTCTAACGGTTGTTCCACGACGAGCATCCGTATTTCTTGTTGTACGCCGCTTCCATTCTTCTTCGTTGTCATCCTCATAGATGGGATATTTTGGGGTTATGTTGGATTCGCATTCTCGGCTAGCCAGCACTGAGTTTCGGTCGGTCCGTTACTGTGATGGTGACCACTACACGCTCAGACACGCATTCAGTGGGCTTTCGTGGTAAGTAGTCTTACCATCTTATCGACATATAGTGTTTCTCTTCTGATTCAGCTTTGTATAGAACGATGAATCGTAAACTTATGGAATACAGTACCAGAAGGATTAAGAGGTGCCGATTCTGTGAACTGTTTTAAGACACGTATCGACGATTATTTCGGAAACCTGTGCTTTTGTGAACCGGTGCACATACAATGCCAAAAGAAGACCTCGTATACCCGGAAATGATGACACGAATACGAATTCCGAACCGGAGAAGGATAGACGATTAACTGGCGCAAAACTACCGCTGATGAATCGCAATTAATTTTTTTTGATTTTTCATAAATTGATATAGTTGTACAGTGACGTTTCTACTTGCTCTTAAATGCAGTATCTGTATCAGTATCAGATACCTTAGATGCTGATGTGTCGGTGGTGTTGCCGACGATCTTCACCACGGACAACCTCACTGGTAGCTGTTGTTACCG